ACAACCAATCAGGGGTAAGGAAAAAAGTAACTTGTCCCACCCCATCTTCTCATGAGAAAAGTTGTTATCATTCTAAGCTCTTGGAATGTTATGACTTTGCTCTCTCTGTACCAGGCCACCGAGGTAACGAGATAACAGGTCAGCCTGACCAATTTCTGTGAAGCAAAACTGCCTTTTGGAATTTTCCACTTTCAAGCACACAAGGACCAAAATGGATTCTTTTAGGCTAACTTCATAACCACATATCCAATCAGTAAATCACTTTCTAGCTTTCATAACCAAATTCATCACAGTCAGCAGCTACATTGTCTGGGTTGTCCGGGATATCCAAATCTTTCTGATATAATTCCTCTGTGTATTCTTGCCACCTCTTCTTGATGTCTTCTGCTTCTGTTAGGTCCCTCCCATTTTTGTCCTTTATCATGTCCATCTTTGCACAAAATGTTCCTCTAATATCTCCAATTTTCCTGAACTGGTTTTTCCTTTTATGTTATTTTCCTCTATTTCTTTGCACTGTTGATTTAAGTACGCCCTCTTGTCTCTCCTTGCTATTCTTTTGAAGTCTGCATTCAATTTTCTGTAACTTTCCCTATCTCCCTTGCATTTTGTTTCCCTCCTCCCCTCTGCTATTTCTAAGGCCTCATTGGACAGCCACTTTGCTTTCTTGCATTGCCTTTTCTTTGGGATGGTTTTTGTTGCTGCCTCCTGTACAATGTTACGAGCCTCTATCCAAAGTTCTTCAGGCACTCTGTCCACCAAATCGAGTTCCTTAAATCTGTTCTTCACTTCCACTGTGCATTCATAAGGGATTTTTTTAAGATTATACCTGAGTAGCCCAGTGGTTTTTCCTACTCTCTTCAGTTTAAGCTTGGATTTTGCTATGAGAAGCTGATGATCAGAGCCACAATCAGCTCCAGGTCTTGTTTTTACTGACTGTATAGAGCTTCTCCATCTTTGGCTGCAGAGAATATTCTGATTCTCTGAATGGTCATCTGTGAACTTACACTTCCCGCTCATCCTCCCCTCTGTCCGTCACCTATGTCTGTTGAATGCTGTGCAGCAGTGGATTATTATGTGGAACTGAGACAATCTGTGCCATGGGAGGGGCACGTGCGACTGGAAGGAGGTCCTAACAACACGTGTTAAAGCTCTAGAAGAGTCTCTGCCAGGCAGATAAGTAACCTCTCTATTGCCCTGAGCCTCTATGGTGCCTGCTCAATATGGGCAGTCTGTTAAGGTAGTCAGACTGGGACTGAATAAAATCAATCAATGAATAAAATATATTGGAGTGCATAAGATAAATCTAAGGATTAAGATTTAATAAGGAGGCATTTTTAAGGTTTTATGATTGTTGTGGTGTTTAACACTGGATTCTTTTTCCTCAATTTCAGAAAAAGACTTGCCTTGCAGCCTTGGCTAAGCTCAGGTATGATGTAGTAGCATTTGATTAGGGTGGATTTATAGTTATAAAGTGCATTGCTCTCTCTATATTAAACAGTGAGGTCCATTTCTGTCTGACTCTCTAATGTGTAAATTTAAAATGTTTTAAACTCCTTTTTCTCTTTTCAATTATAAAATTAGTTTTTGTATTGGAGGACTTCATGTTGCCTAGTTCTGTGTGCTTTTGTTCTTTGTGGTCACCATGAAATCACACAACTGGATTATTCTGTGTCTGCTTGATAGCCTCTTTGGAACTAAAGCAAAAAAGCCATTAGTGAGTCCCTCCCCACGTGTATGCCTGCCCAGCCTGTCCAAATACCTCAGTTCCCCCAAATGCCTCAGTTCCCCTCAGCTTCTTGAAATGCTTCTGGACCAAAAATCTCTCATTTTATTTTTATTTTTTACTTATCTTGTTTTCTCCTCCCTAAAAGAGAGAGCGAGAGCAATTGAGAGACTTGTTATCATTTTACCCTTTTAGGAACCCATCCCCTCACCCATTATTGATGACTTAATTTTTTTATGATTATCAGTAAGGACCTGCTTATAAAATGTGTTATGTACAGAAGCAAATTATCCTTCACAGACAGTCATTCTGAGTGACCGTCGGTGTCTGGCTGAGGAGCATGTAACTTGTTTGTGTATACACTTCAGGAAACAAACAAAAGCCTAACAGGAAACTAACATAAAGAATAGACAGTCTCGTTCAAGACTTCATTTGTGGGAAAAGTCTCATAAGGCAACCTTTTCCCTGTCTAAAAGTCCCATTGTGGAACCTGCTCAGTTGGAGCCCAATCCAGTGCTCAAGCCAGGGGAAACTTTACCTTTACCTTACCATTCTGTCAGGGTGCAGCTTGTTTTCCCTCGATATTAGAAGAGCATTCACTTTCTACATTTCTTAGACTGAGCAGTTCCATAGGTTTACTTGACTTTTTGTCCACTAGCTCTGTCAACTAGATCTGTTGCTTCCTCTACCACAGTCTTTTTGTAAGGTGGCAGCCCGGCACAGCCTTCCACTTTTATCAGATGCTACTGCCTCCGGTTGAGAGTTTGCTGAGACACCAGATTTGGCAACACTATCCTTTCTTCTGTACCACAGTGACACTTCCATCATTGGTGGTTGCTTACCTATACCTGTGGTTTTTTTGAAAAGTCATCTGTGGAGTCATACATATCACCTGACTTTCCTACATTGTCCCCCTTTTATGGTGGACAGGAACTGAAGAGAATATTCTGGGGAGCACTAGTCACATGTGAGGAGGATTGTGGGTGGGGCTTCCACCATAAAAGAGCAGGGACTGTAGAATGTTCAACGAACTAGCTCTGCACAGGTGCAAAGCTGCAACTCAACAGATGACCACTTGAAGAACAGTTTGAGGTGAGCAACTTTTTGTCAAGTAGTCTGTTATTGATAGTATCTCTTTAGAATCAGTTGCAATGTGAAATGTTATAGAATGTTTCTTTGTAAACTAATGCTGCATTGTGCTTGCTTTGTAAGCTAACACTGTATGCCTTTATTTTTCCTTTCTTTAAAAGAATCAGCATCTATTTCAGAAGCGTTGAAGGAGATAAAGGAAGACCGGCTCAGTACTTTGAAACAAAATGTTAAAGACTGCCTCAGTGTATTAAGCCATAGTAATGAGTTAGATTCTGAGCAGCTGGCTGTATATCCTGAAACCAAATGGCAAACAGGATGCAAGCAAGATAAGGTGTGCCTTTATTTTGCGTCCTTCTTGTGATGTGTCATATAAAATCATAGGGATGTTAAAGTAGTGGAAAGTGTCAGGGATCCTCTGGTAAGTGAATGGGTGATTGTGGACTAAGGCAGTGGGTCCCAACCTTTTTGACACCAGCAACTGGTTTAGTTGAAGACCATTCTCACAAGGACTGGGGGTGGCTGATGGGTGTCCGTGCGTGTGTGCGAGGGGAGTGCAGACATCTGTGCAGGCGGGTGAGGGTGCATGCATGCGTGTATGTGGGAGGTGGGCGGGCATCCACGTGGGTGGGGGCCTGTGTGCGTGTGGGGGATCAGGTGTGTGCGCGCATTCCTTTGGCCCTTGAACATTTGTCTTAGTGGCCCAGTCCTTCCAAGGCCACAGTACCAGCCTGCGTGCGACCCAGGGGTCGGGGACTCCTGGACTAAGGAACATATATATCAGAATTTGCCAGACATGCTGAACATGAAGCAGCACTATATCACTTTTTTTCTCAAAGGAGGGGATCTGATGGTGTTGTCACTGTTACAGTTGGCTCACATTTGCTTTTCAGAGTTCATTAACTTCTAGCTATTATTGGGAAGCTGGGAAAGTTGCAAAGAATTGTGGTGTTATTGAACATTGAGTAGGATTATGTGAGTTTAATGTGTCATGTGTTGTAAAGCAGAAACAAAATAATGATTTTGATTTTCAGATACACCAGGACATCTTTACAGTACCAGCCAAGTTCCTGGCAATCAGTGCAGAAAATAAGAAAGCACTTGACAAGTCCTACTCACCAAGTGAGTGTCAGAACTTAGAAACCACGGCAAGATAGTTCTAGCTCACATAGCGCATCTGCATTCCCACAGATTTTGTTTGACTCCAGTTTTCATAAATCCAAAGTTTTTTAGAATTTGTAGTTTGACAACTGTCTGGAAGATCACAGGTTTCTCTTCCTTGCTCCACAGATTTCTTCCTCCTGTCATGGTATCTATACTGCTGAGTACAATGGTTTTCATAGCAATCTGTAAAGAATGGCAAATCCTATAAAGAAAAAATGAACCTGTTTGGTAGCCTGAGACTTGTGGTTGCAAGAATGTGATATTTGCAGGCAGGGAATATCTTTTTATTCCTAAGCTAATACAAAAAGAGCAGGGCACAGTGTTTACTGAGATGTGTCGTGACAGCCTCCTCACACGACACAAAGGAGCTGCCATGTCACACTCACGCTTTATTCACGCTGCCACCAACCATTCCCTCATAAGACTCTTCAGACAAAAGTATGATTTTTAAAATAAAAACTTATGTTTATTGATAATTACAAAAGGAATGGTAAATCACTACAATAATTAAAATAAAAGGCAATCAGTAATAATAAAGTACCCCCCCCCCACACACACACTCTCTCAGACCTTCACCCTAATATATAGCACAGGACTACACAACATGGGCAAGCCCTAACTCCCTAAGTCCCTAACCAGACCCTATCAAGTCCCTGTCTCAAAACCTATCTGACTCACACCTCATTCACTCCCCCTTAAATACTCTAGCTCCACCCTCTTATGTCCCACCTCCCGTCACGCCATTGGCAGATGACACGCAGCCACAGCAATGATGGGCAGATGATGTCACCGCTACCGTAACGTGTGCTTGATGTTTGCATCAGACATCCTTGTTGGATTGTATTAGGTTCTGAAGCATATAAGAAAATTTAGCAGATTCCACTATCAAACTATGCATTCAAGATACCATTCAGGATATTTTACTGCAAGTGGTACAAGATATTAAAGCCAGTCCTCTGAAAGTGAGCATTAGATTGAACAAGTCAACTGATGTTAATAATTGCAGTCAGCTATTAGTATTTCTGTGATGCGTAAAGAAAAAGGAAATTTTGGAAGAATTTTTTATTTTGTGAGGAACTAGAGTTGACAACAAATGGAACTGATATTTTCTGTCTCTTTAAATACCGTATTTTTCATGTATAAGACTATACTTTTCTCTAAAATCTTTTAGACCAAAAATTGAGGGTCGTCTTATACACAGAAGTAAGGTGAGGAGAGAACAAAAACAAGTGGAGGGGAAAGCAGGGATCTAAGTGATCATGCAGGGCTTTGATCCCTGTTTTCCCTTTCACTTGCTAAGCCTCAGCAAAAGGAAAGCAAGGATCAAAGTGCTGAAGGATGGCTTTGATCCCTGCTTTCCCCTTTGCTTACTAAGTCCCATGGGGCTTAGCAAAAGGAGGGGGGAAGGATCAAAGCAATCCTATGGTTGTATAAGGGGGAAAGGAATCAAAGCAATCATGCAGTCATGGGATTGCTTTGATCCCTTTCCCCCTCCTCTTGCTAAGGCCTGTGGGGCTTAGTACGAAGGGAGAAAGCATGAATCAAAGCGATCCTGTAGTGTTTTGATCCCTTTCCCCTTCTTTTGCTAAGCCCCACTTAGATTTTGGGTTAGAAAAGTGGGCATCTTATACATGGAAAATACAGTCTTTTTTGGAAACATCAAATACCAATGGATATAATAGGCCCAGTTTGCCCTCATGGTGGCTCTGCAATGTTAGGCAAAAATTCCAGATTTTTTGCATATATGAAGAAAGAGGTACTGCAAGTTACAATTACACGTTGCATGTTGCACTGCCATATGCTTGCATTGGAAACTTTGCCAGAGAAGTTAAAACAGTACTTAGTTACTGCAGTAAATGTAGTAAATTACCGTATTTTTCCGTTTATAAGACATCTCCGTTTATAAGGAAACCCCACCCCCACTTTTCTAACCCCCAAATTAAGAAAACAGCTTTCAGTATTTAGCCTCTGGGCTCAGAACACTGGGACATTACGACTCCCTGTTGAATCTGAGCACCGCCTACAGGCTCCAACTCCAACTAGGTGTGTTCCAATTGGTTTGTACAGCATCAGCTGATGTCAGTTCCATAAGGCTTGTGATTGGAGGAAGCTAAGTCTCCTGACTGTAGGAAGCTAAGCCTCGAGATTGAGGGAACCCTGTTTACAGAGGCAAGATATGTGTAATTTTGTTATCTCCATGTTCTCAGTTTACTTCCATGTAAAAGATGCCCCTCAATTTTTAGTGTAATGATTTTAGGAAAAAGTAGCCTCGTGGCGCAGTGGTTAAATCGCTGTATTGCAACTAAAACTGTGCTCACGACCTGGGGTTCAAATCCCAGGTAGCCGGCTGAAGGTTGACTCAGCCTTCTATCCTTCTGAGGTCGATAAAATGAGTACCCAGCTCGCTGGGGGGGGGGCAATGTGTAGCCTGCATAATTAAATTGTAAACTGCCCAGAGAGGGCTTGAAGTGCTATGGGGCGGGATATAAGCAGCACGCTTTGCTTTTTGCTTTGCTTTTATACACAGAAAAATACGGTATATCCAAGGACAGGTGCACAATCGTATCTTTTGTGCTTTTTTTAGAAGAAATCAGTGCTGACCATACTGTACTTCTTTATCGCACTGACTTAAGATGGCTCTCCAAGGGATGTATGCTAAGCAGAGTTTTTGAAATTTGTGGGGAAATTATTCAATTTCTTACTAACCAAAACTGTAATTTAGTTAAAGACTTTGAAAGTAGAGTTGCATTACTTCAACTAGCCTACTTAGGCAATATAGTCGCTCACCTGAATGAATTAAATGTATCAATGCAAAGATATGGCAAGAACATAATCACAGCTACTGAAAAAGTATCTGCTTTTATTGAAAAACTAAAATTTTGGATTTGTTGAGTTGAAAAATGGTAATTTTGCAAATTTTCTTTTGTTGACTTTAATGCTTTAGACCACTGGTTCTTAACCTTGGGTTACTCAGGAGTTTTGGACTGCAACTCCCAGAAGCCTTCACCACCATCTGTGCTGGCTGGGGTTTCTGGGAGTTGCAGTTCAAAAACATCCGAGTAACAAAGGTTAAGAACCACTGCTTTAGACAAAGGTAAATTAATAAAAGACTATCTTATTGAAATATGGGCTAGTGCACATATTCAACTTGAATTTGAAAAATTGGACTTAGAACAATTCTGGTGTGCTCAGTTAGAACCATTTTCACAACTGGCAAAGGCAGCATTGCAGACACTTCTGCCATTTGCTTCTACCTATATGTGTGAAATGGGATTTTCGTCACTTTTGACAGAAAAACAAAAATCAGAAATCGCTAAAATGCAAGTGATGACGTGTAGTTCTTTCAAAAAAGGAACCCTCCTTTGAAAATTCTTTTAAGAATAAACAACAAATTACCCATTAAAATTGAAACATTTTTTTAACTTTATCTCAATACATATATGTGCAACTGTTTTTCAGTATATTTTTTGCAATAAGTGTAATTGTCTAACAAATAAATTGGAACACAGTTTTCAAGGGGGTGAAAAAATGTATTTTGAGATGGCGTGCTGACCACTAAAAAGGTTAAGAACCTGTGAGTTAGATAGTTACATTGCAGGATTTCCTTTAACTGTGTATTTACTCCATCTTTCCCAGTGGGCTTAGAAGTAATTTGTTGTTATGAAAAGAGCTTGCTTCCATGCATTGTTGTGCTTCTTTTGCTCTCATGCTGGCTGCTGGAGAGCTGTGCATTAACCCATAAAGTTGGGGAGGTAAGTTTGTTCAGGAGCATGTCTCTTTTCAGAGAGCAAATCCTAAAAAAAATTACACACTGGTCTGATTTTCTCTTTCAGAGATTTCGCAAGTTCCTGGTACTGATGACAGCACTGAGGATGAGGATTGCAGTACTATATCCTTTTTCAGTGGTAAATACCAATAGTTGTATTTTGTGGTCTAGCAGACTGAATTATGTCTGATTGTTCTGCTAACAAACCTCTGAAAGAACTGAGAATACTGCTGAGCCGTTTCCTTGGTTCTCATTGTGGCTTTCTGTTTTCAACTGATCTCTTGGCTAAAATCAGAGACCTTGTGGTCTGGTCTGGAGAATCTGTAGCCTTCCAAATGTCATTCAGTCCCACTTCACATCACTCCATTCAAACTGAGGTTTGCTATGGGTAGATAATAAATGTCTGTGGGGTCCCACCTTATTTTGGTTAGTGGCTGCTTGTTCTATCTGGTCAGCATCTTTTGTAAGAATAATAGGAAGTCAGCCATGTAAGCTCGTGTACAATAGCCCAGATGGCATTTAAACCAATAGTAATTTTGTGTAGTACACACACTCATCAGGAAGAGCAGTATTTAAAAGAAATAAATGCTGCTGCTACACTAGTATTACCACTGATTATATTGAATTAATCAGTACAATTTTGAAACACTGTAATAACTGTCCCTGCTTGTATACAAAATTTACATAGCAAATATGAAATTAACCTGTCTGTGCTTCTTGGTATGTTTATTGAGGAATCTTGATGGTAATTTTTAAGTTAACAGTTGAAAACAGCTCATATCCTGTTGATTTTCCTTTTTCGTATGTATTTACTGTAGGTCAGATGAATTCTGAGTGTTAGTCACTTAAGAACCTTTAGTACAGTGGTGCCTCGCAAGACAGAATTAATCCGTTCCACGGTTAATGCTGTCTAGCAAAAATTTCGTCTTGTGAAGCGGATTTTCCCATACGAATGCATTGAAATTTAATTAATGCATTCCTATGGGGGGGAAAGTAAGAAACAAAAAAAGTCAGTAAAAAGTCACTTACCAGGTACAGTAGACTCACGGTGCCCCGGAACAGCCTGGAAAAAAGTGACAAACAGCAGAGACTCAGCAGCAAGCAGGGAGCCGGCTGCCATTTTGTGGTAGTCTCCGCTCCTGTCCCATACGAATGCATTGAAATTTAATTAATGCATTCCTATGGGGGGGAAAGTAAGAAACAAAAAAAGTCAGTAAAAAGTCACTTACCAGGTACAGTAGACTCACGGTGCCCCGGAACAGCCTGGAAAAAAGTGACAAACAGCAGAGACTCAGCAGCAAGCAGGGAGCCGGCTGCCATTTTGTGGTAGTCTCCGCTCCTGCCTCCCCTGCCTCTCAGCTGATTGGCGCTGGGTCTAAGAGGCTTTTTCCCTGCTAGGCAAGCCTTGGGAAGACTCTTAGACC